ATAAAACTTCTGAAGCAATTGGTAAAAACCCGTAGTGTCCATATGAATGTATGATAGCTTCAGTTGCTAAATTATAGATTTATTAAAATACATTGGAAGGTTATTTTTTAGAGAACGTTTCAGTTTCTATTTTCCTGATCTACCCTGTTTTGTGGCTTATTAAATCAATGGAAATAGTCATTTTGTCAATGCATTCTTTATTTTATCCATTTTGGTTATTTCACTGCCTATTATCAAGGAAAGTAAAACTATTTAAACCATTGATTTATTATCCATCAGTTTAAGAAGTACTTATTGAGGACACACCTCATGCCATTAACTTTTTGGACACTAAGGTGTCACTGTACTTTCAAACAAAGGTTGAAACTTCTCAACCTCTGACTTGGCTTGTCTAAACTCAATGTGAAATCACAACTCTGAGCAAAAATTGAGTAAAGATGTGGCAAATAGGTGGTCACAGTGATGCAGCTACTCTTTCTTGATGGCACTAGTATAGTGGGGTTTTCTGCTGGTTTCAGAATCACTCTTCTCAAAACAAACCTGCATACAAACCCCCTATACTCTAAAGCAGCGTTTCTTAACCTGTTTTCTGCTGAAACACACAAAAGCGGATGCTCATGTGCTTATCACACACCTCATGTGAGGCAGACAAGAGAGCAGGGACTTAGGAACACTTTGTGATGCTACCAGCTGTACATCCACACTTCTCCCCTGGAGAAAGCATCCTTGGTGGGATATAGTGAGTGAGTGTAGCTTTAGTGCTGGTACAGCCTTGAATCGGCTCTAATATACAGAGAGTAAATCAATTGCAAAATGTAACATGAGATACACTTCATTAGTTGTCCCAGCACACATTAGACTTGTGATTCATTTGAGACACTTTCCCCCACAGCTAACGTGAGATAGTATATTAGTGCGTGTGTGCGTGTGCACGCACGTGCATGAAGCTTTCACAGCGGCCTCTGGCTTCCTGCCCCAGCCTCAGGTCCATGCAATACCTCCCATCAGATACAGCCTGAGAAAGGGTGACTTAACAACAAGAAGTGCCTTTAAGTTCAACAGTGAACCATATTGTCAAAATGAGTCCACCATTTTCTTGGGAGTGCTTGTCTCTCCCTCTGTCACGGTCTCCACCATGTGACCAATCCCCTCTCTCTCTTACTTTCTTTCACTTTTTCTATTCTGATGGTACCACTGGGGATATATGGAAACGACGCTGTTTGCCCTGAATGTGCTATTTCAGCTCACTTTCCTGGCGTTGTTGGTCTTAGTTTTGCTCTGATCACGTTATGCTCTTCCACAAAGGCACCCCCTCATGTAGTGAACAACAATGTGCATTTCCAACAAAGCATGCTAGTGTTGGGACTGATCTGGCACTGTTCCTCTTATGTGATCACTGACCTTGCGTTTTAGTTCCACTGGTTTTAAACAACCTGGCTAAGCAGCTCACTGGGCCTGGTAAGTAACAGGTCAATGTGCTTGGCCTATGCACACTACATTTATCAAAGTATTGTGTACTTTATTTTTTTAAAGATTTTATTTATTAGAGAGAGTGCATGCAGGGAGAGGAGCAGAGGGAGAGGGACAAGTAGACTCAGCACTGAGTGTGGAGCCCGACACGGGGCTCGATCCCACTACCCTGAGATCATGACCTGAGCTGAAATCAAGCGCTGGACGTGTAACCAACTGAGCCACTCAGGCACCCTGAAAGAATTGTGTATTTTAAGTGCTGAATTTTAGAAGGGATTTGGGGAAACTAGAGCATAGAAATTTCAGAAGAAAAACATCAAGTATGAGCTACAGGCTAGAATACAGATTCGGAGGTATATTATTGCTGCTTTCTCTTAGATGATGCTTTCTTGCTGTGTCCTCACAAGGTGGAAGGAGCAAGAGTTATTTTTATGTTCATGAGGGCTCTACCCTCATGAGCTAATCACCTCGGGAAGGCCCCACCTCCAGATATCATCACATTTTCCGCATATGAAATTGGGGGGACACAAACATGTAGTCTGTGGCATGACATGTACCCACCATTATACTGTCATACAGAAGAATTTCCCTGCTCTAAAAATCCCCTGTGCTCAACTCCTTTATCTCTTCTTCCCCCCCCAACCCCTCTCAACCACTGAGCATTTTACTGTCTCCACAGTTTTGCATTTTCCAGAATATCATATAGTTAGAATCTGGCACTATGTAGTCTTTTCAGACTGACTTTTTTTTTTTTTTCATTTAATAATATGTATTTAAGATGGTGCTGAGAATCTTCTGGTTATAAAAAAGAACAATTAATACTGTTCATTTTTTACAGAATTATATGAGAAAGATATCACCTATAATGATTAGCTGACTCCACGGGTGACACCCAAGAATAAATACGTTTATTAAAATTTTAAGAACACTTTCTTAATTTCTCAGGATTGTGCAGCAGAACGCATTGAATTCAGAAGATAAATATGTCACGTCTTCCCAGAGTACTCATTTCATTCGAATACCTGGAGGAAGTTTTTTTTTATATTAAAAAAAGCATGGATATATTCTGGAGTAGAATACAGAATTTTTATTAGATAAAACAAGAGACTTAAGAGAAATGCTAAGCATATGTAGAACTGCTTCTGGCTAAGATCCTATTAGACTCCCCTAGGGATGCAAGTTCATGTTCCTCTTGCATCAGAAATACTGTAGTGAAAAATTTAAGAAGTGATTCAGAGAAATTCAGTTTAAAACAAGATACATTTTGGTGGTTAGAGAGTGTCTTTGGTCTGGTTCCCAGGGAAGTGGACCCCGAGTCAGAGATTCCTGTGCAGAAAGCTGACTGGAAATTCTCCCAGCAACAAGCCTGTGGAGCAAGGGAGGGGGACTGGGCAGAGGGACGATAGGGGGCGATGCAGGCGCAGTAGGGGCCTCGGCCGATGTCATGGGGGCTCTGAAATCGCACTGGCCCTTTCAGAGATGCCCCTAATTGAGGCGTAGGGGCCAGGCCATTTCATGCCCAGGGCACCAGTGAATGAATGGAGCTGTTCCCGGAAGGGTGTGTAACTTTAGAGGAAAGTTCCCGGGGCTGGAGCTGTGAGCTGTCTGACAACCTCCTGGCAGCTGTGGGATAGAACACCTTATCCGGGTGGAGGAGCCTGGGCAGCCCAGGACAGAGACCACAGAAGGCAGCACAAAGCCACCAACTTCCTTGTAAAGAAGGACCCAGAACAAGTGAGTTCTGAGTACCTTTTGCTGTAAAGAATTCTGAAATAATGGAATCGCTACCTCCAAATGGAAAAGGAATACACACACACACACACACACACACACGCACACACACCATTCTGAACAGGAGAGAAGCATAAGGAATCTGTGCTTGTCTTGGAATATGGAAAATTAATTCCTTCATGTTTTTTTTCAGCTCATAAAGATATAAGTTCAGTGCATAAAATATTTTAGAAAAAAATCAAATTAAGAATGTCTGCCTTTCCTTAAATGTGAGATTAATCTAATGGGTGTGTGTGTGTGTGTGTGTGTGTGTGTATAAAGGTATAAAAACTTAAATCCAATTTACTTTCTAAGTTTGAGTTTCTGAGGTATATGTTGGACACTACAACTCTATATACCGCTCTGACCTATCAGTCGTTAGATAAGAACATGGTAGCAGTGTCTCAAAGTCATGCATTTACCCCAGTTCCGTATGCTGGTTTCCATGAACGGTTCCCTCAAATATATGGCTTTCACCACAGAGTTTGAATCTAAATATATCCTGGATACGTTGCCACTACTGAGTGAGTCGGGAGGAAGAGGAACTTTCAAGTTTCATTTTTTTAAATAAATTCACATCACCATCCTAATGCATAAAACAAATTATTCTTATATAACTATATAAATAATTACATTATAATTATTCTTATATAATCTTACATATACTATATAATTTATATCATATATAATTATATAATCATAATTATATATCTTCTATATAAGATATAATATATAATCTTACATGTAATTTAAATAATTTATGAATAAAAGTTGTTTTAAAATGTGAAGAATGCAAAACTATTCCTGAACTGGTCCCCACTATTATCTGACTATTTTTTTTTTACTTAAAATACCGATGAGTCCATCAACAACTGTCAGAGAGACAATATGAGGTGTAAGGACGATTCCAGTAATAAGGTTCCAGCAAATTAGTACAATTATGTATATTCTCATATATTTCTGACCTCTGGAAGTTGCAGCAAGTCAACAGTCTTTGCTCATGCTTTAGGTTTTGGCTTAGAGCTGATTTAAACCATTGCTGCAGAATAGTTTCATGTGCTAAAAATTTATTAAACTAGTATTGTGTCTTTGGACACTCAAAATTTATGGGCCTCATTTGAAAAATAAGTCGGTTGGATTTGAACTACATTATCTTCAAGATTCCTGCTAGTACAGTATCTTGCCATCCATTATGATTTCACCAGTGGTTTAGATATGGCCACATGTGACCTTTGAGCTGTCATCAAGACCCAAGGGCAACAAGCAGTGTGACAAACCCATGGCAGATGTCTACCTCTGTGACTCAGCCCTGACCAGGGTCTCAGGAGCCAAATTTCCCAAATGGAGGCCACAAAATATTTATCAACTACCTACTGGCAGAATGACAGTTCCCTTCACAAAATTCTAAAATTGCGAACGCAGCTTTCCAAAGTGCTTAACTTACTGTGTAAAATATCTTTACTCTTCAAGGAAAATCTGATTTAGTGGTCAAATTTAAGACAGATGAACCAAAATTTCTCCTTTAATTTGAAAGTGTCCTTTTTGTAAGAATGTTGTTTCTGAGGTTAAGATGAGGCATATTAGAGATTTCTAAAGGATCTGGATGTTTGTAGAGCTCCGATCATTCCTAATTGTAGATTAATTTACTTAAATTACCATAATGTTGCATATGTACCCAGGAATAAATGTATCCTATAATGTTTCAACACTGGACAGAGCGATAATTCAACTAATACGAAAACGACTTGCTTTCTGTTTAGGTCCTATGGCATCTCAGCCATCACCCTGTGAAGGCGATCAGTTTTCTTGTATCTACACACTCCAGTGTGTCCCTCTCTCGGGGAAATGTAACGGACAGGAAGATTGCACAGACGGCTCTGACGAAATGGATTGCTCCCTCAGCAACCCCCCTCAGCGCTGTGGGCAAATGGAGTTCCAGTGCTCGAACAACGAGTGTATCCCGCCCCTCCTGCTATGTGATGGAGTGCCCGACTGTCACTTGAATGAGGATGAATCCCGCTGCTGTGAGTTATTTCCACGAACTCAGGCTGCCAGGGAAGAAATGCAGTTTTGAAAGTATAAATAGAGCTTGACAGATGAAGCAAAGTTCTCTAGAATCTTACCACGGTCCTATCATCAATAACGTAGTTGCTTGTATTATGTTGCAAAACAAAGCATAATGCCTAGCATTTTTTTAATTAACATATAATGTATTATTTGTTTCAGGGGTACAGGTCTGTGATTCATTCAGTCTTACATAACACCCAGCACACACCAACACACCACAATACATTCCCTCCCCAATGTCCATCATCCAGTCACCCCATCCCCCCACCCCACTCCCCTCCAGCAACTGTGTTTGGTTTTTTTTCTTATTCATTCATTCATTCATTCATTCATTCATTCATGTAGTGTTCCATGATTCATTGTTTGCGTATAGCACAAGCCCTCTTTAATACGCATCACCAGGCTAACCCATCCCCCCCCAGAACCCTCAGTTTGTTTCTCAGAGTCCACGGTCTCTCATAGTTCGTCTCCCCTTCCAATTTACCCCCTTTCATTTTTCCCTTCCTACTATCTTTTTATTTTTTTAACATATAATGTATTATTTGTTACAGAGGTACAGGTCTCTGATTCAACAGTCTTACACAATTCACAGCGCTCACCATAGCACATACCCTCCCCAGTGTCTGTCATCCAGCCACCCCATCCCTCCCACCCCCCCACCACTCCAGCAACCCTCAGTTTGTTTCCTGAGATAAAGAATTGCTCATCTCAGTGAGATTATGTATGTCTTTCTCTGATTGACTTATTTCACTTAGAATAATACCCTCTAGTTCCATCCACGTCATTGCAGATGGCAAGATTTCATTCCTTTGGATGGCTGCATAATATTCCATTGTGTATATATACCACCTCTTCTTTATCCATTCATCTGTCGATGGACATCTTGGCTCTTTCCAGTTTGGCTATTGTGGACATTGCTGCTATAAACATCGGGGTGCAGGCGCCCCTTCGGATCACTACATTTGTATCTTTGGGGTAAATACCCAGTAGTGCCTTTGCTGGGTAATAGGGTAGCTCTCTTTTCAACTTTTTGAGGAACCTCTATACTCTCTTCCAGAGTGGCTGCACCAGCTTGCATTCCCACCGACAGTGTAAGAGGGTTCCCCTTTCTCCACATCCTCGCCAACATCTGTTGTTTCCTGACTTGTTAATTTTAGCTATTCTAACTGGTGTGAAGTGGTATCTCATTGAGATTCTGATGTGTATTTCCCAGGTGCCAAGCGATGTTGAGCACTTTTTCATGTGTCTTCTTTGGAAAAATGTCTGTTCATGTCTTCTGCCCATTTCTTGATTGGATTATTTGTTCTTCGGGTGTTGAGTTTGATAAGTTCTTTATAGATTTTGGATACTAGCCCTTTATCTGATATGTCATTTGCAAATATCTTCTTCCATTCTGTCGGTTGTCTTTTGGTTTTGTGGACTGTTTCCTTTGCTGTGCAAAAGCTTTTTATCCTGATGAAGTCCCAATAGTTCATTTTTGCTTTTGTCTCCCTTGCCTCTGGGGATGTGTCTAGCAAGAACTTACTAAGGCCGAGGTCACAGTGTTTGCTGCCTATGTTCTTCTCCTAGGATTTTGATGGCTTCCTGTCTCACATTTAATTCTTTCATTCATTTTGAGATTATTTTTGTGTATGGTGTAAGGAAATGGTCCAGTTTCATTCTTCTGCATGTGGCTGTCCGATTTTCCCAGCACCATTTGTTGAGGAGACTGTCTTTTTTCCATTGGCCATTCTTTCCTGCTTTGTCAAATATTAGTTGACCATAGAGTTGAGGGTCCATTTCTGGGCTCTCTATTCTGTTCCATTGATTGTTGTGTCTCTTTTTGTGCCAGTACCATACTGTCTTGATGATGACAACTTTGTATTAGAGGTTGAAGTCCGGAACTGTGATGCCACCAGCTTTGCTTTTCTTTTTCAACATTCCTCTGGCTATTCGGGGTCTTTTCTTGTTCCATACAAATTTTAGGATTATTTGTTCCACTTCTTTGAAAAAAGTGGATGGTATTTTGATAGGGATTGAATTAAACGTATAGATTGCTCTAGGTAGCATTTACATCTTCACAATATTTGTTCTTCCAATCCCTGAGCATGGAACGTTTTTCCATTTCTTTGTGTCTTCCTCAATTTCTTTCATGAGTATTTTATAGTTTTCTGAGTACAGATCCTTTGCCTCTTTGGTTAGATTTATTCCTAGGTATCTTATGGTTTTGGGTGCAATTGTAAATGGGATCGACTCCTTAATTTCTCTTTCTTCTGTCTTGCTGTTGGTGTATAGGAATGCCACTGATTTCTGTGCATTGATTTTATATCCTGCCACTTTACTGAATTCCTGTATGAGTTCTAGCGCTAGGACTTCTAGTACTATGTTGAATAGCGGTGATAGTGGACATCCCTGCCGCATTCCTGACCTTAGGGGGGAAGCTCTCAGTTTTTCCCCATTGAGAATGATATTCGCTGTGGGTTTTTCATAGATGGCTTTTATGATGTTGAGGTATATGCCCTCTATCCCTACACTCTGAAGAATTTTAATCAAGAAAGGATGCTGTACTGGGGCGCCTGGGTGGCTCAGTCATTAAGCGTCTGCCTTCATCTCAGGTCATGATCCCAGGGTCCTGGGATTGAGCCCCGCATCGGGCTCCCTGCTCCACGGGAAGCTTGCTTCTCCCTCTCCCTCTCCCCCTGCTTGTGTTCCCTCTCTCGCTGTCTCTCTCTCTCTGTC